GTGGTAGAGCCCCTGCCTAGAATCCCCCAGTGAGGGGCTGGGGTGTGGCTCAGTGGTAGAGCCCTTGCCTAGAATCCCCCAGTGAGGGGCTGGGGTGTGGCTCAGTGGTAGAGCCCTGCCTAGAATCTCTCAGTGAGAGGCAGTAGAACGCCTTACGTGGCCCTGGGTTCCACCCCCAGGCAGAAGACGTAGGAGCCCTTTCAGGAGCCTAAGGCTGATGGTTAGCACAGCCTAAGGCTGATGGTGATCTCAATGACTTCCATGTCACATTGGAGTCTCAAGATTATTCCGTTCTGTCTCCGGTTGTTGAGTATAGACCGTAAGAGAAGCAGTTAGGGCCCAAATAGCTGCTCTAGGCTGGTGGAGCCCCCTAGGAATCTCGGGTCCGAGAGGCCACGCTCCCAACACGATGGCTTCTCTCTCCCAACAGCATTAAGGAGAAGCTTATGACCCAGGCTGACCGGTTCAGTGAGGAGGAGGTGAGCATGGGCTTTGGGGTCATTCCTGTGGGTCCGCCGTCCCCCACCAGCCCCCATTTAACCTGACCCTTTTGCTCCCACTCCCAGGTCAAGCAGATGTTTGCGGCTTTCCCGCCAGATGTGTGTGGCAACCTGGACTACAGGAATCTATGCTACGTCATCACGCATGGAGAGGAGAAGGACTAGAAGGCGCGCCTCACCTGCATTCGGCCGAGGCTGGGTGGGGTGGGGGCAGGGCTGGCCTGGCTGGCACATGCAGGGAAGTGGTCTCCATCACCCCGCAGTCCGGGGCTGGAGTGGGAATAAATGACAGAGACGTTGTCTGGGGCATGTTTGCGTGGTTAGCGCTGTGGTTGGGAAGACACTAAACATTCCCTTGCTAGTTTTTCCAAAATGCTTGGTTCCCTTGCTCTGCTCAGCTGTTCCTGATGAGCTGGTGTTTAGGAGTAATGGACAGTTTTAATGCCCGTCTGGGCCCCAGGGCACTGCCTTCGCTGACGGGGCTTTTATTGAGCACCTAGCGTCTCCAAGCCGCCTGGACGAGACAGGGCTGTCCTCCTGCAGCAATCGTGAGGACCGCACAAAGCTGGGTGGAGGGACGATGACAGGGCGAGATCTGGCAGGAGAAGCTGGGCCAAGAGGAGAAGGGATTCTGGGAATTTAAAGGGTAGGCAGAGAGCTCCACTCGCACGCATGGCAGTGAAGATGGGCTAGACAGGGCTACGGGGGAGCTCATCATGATTAAAACCGTCTGCCCACAAAGACAGCACTGAGGATGTGGAAAGATCAGCAGGAGGATGGGAGAAGAGTCCAGGAACTCTTGACAAAGGTCCCACAGCCTGTGTGTGTCATACTTAAACCTGCACAGTAGTGATGGAAAATGAGTCACTTCAATGTATGTGAGGGAGAGTGTACACACAGAGAGGTCAAAGGACATGGGGGGATTCTCTCCTTCCACCATCAGGGTCCTGGGGATCAAACTAAGGTCTCAGGCTTGGGACCAAGTGCGTTTACCTCCTAAGCCATTTCACTGCCTTCCTATTTTATTTTATTTTATTTTATTTTATTTTATTTTATTTTATTTTA